ATAGAGAATAACAATACCTGTGTATTTTATAGAGAATAGCAGTCCCTGTGTAGATTGTGGAGAATAGCAGTCCCTGTGTACGTTATCGAGAACAGCAGCCTTGGTGTTTTTATAATGGATAGTGCTCATGTGTATATTGTATAATATACCAGCTCCTGTAGTTGTTTTAGGTAAAGCTTAGAAATCACATTCATGCAGAGATGGTACTGACTGGATGTGGGTGAATGTTTGTCCTACCTGCCACTGCCCAATACTGTACACCCTCTGGCCAAACGGCCTCTGGGAGCCGGTGCACAATTTGAAGGCGTCACTGCGGATCTCGATGACGTTATTGATGAGGGCGCACATGGCAGCGAGGGGGAATGCAGATGAGAACAGCACCACGTACCCAAACTGGATAAACATCTCCTGGTAATCCTGGAAAGTGTCCTGTAAGAACGAGGGAAGAACCTTGGAGAAGATGTGAACCAAATCATTTGTTCAAGGACGCAGGGCAGAAGGTGGTTAAAAAGACATTACGTTGAGGCATAGAATGCATAGGATATGACAAATCTTTCTAAACCACTGGTTCAGCCTCACTGGGGGTTGTATTTCCTATTCAGTGTGTTGTAGTTAAAGGAGAATGTGAAGATCTTAGAGATGGTGCAGAACTGATTAGCAGAAATGTTTCCAATGTTGAGGGATTTTGTGTGTGTGAATAGTTTGCAGATGCTAAGGCTGTTCTCCTGTGAGAAGAGAAGAATGAGAGGCTCACACCGCTGCCTCACAGCGCCAGGGACCCGGGTTCAAGGGTCACCATTAGATTTAGATATTACTGAATTCAAATTTCACCAATTGCTGTAGCGGGACCTAAACCCATAACCTGGGGCAGTCGCCCTCTAGATGACCAGGCCACGTCTTTGTACAGAACTGATAAGAGGAAGAAAGGGAGTTTTGTGGGAGCAGATACAGGGAGGTACAGGCAGCAGGGTAAAGGGCAGAGCGGTAACCAGTGAAAGAAACAGATGGAGGGCACCAAGAGAGACGAGGCAGGGAACAGAGAATCACAGTGATGGGCTGGGAAAAGGGTAGAGAAAAAGAATTCTCTCAAGTCTCTGGAACCTCCTCCAGAGCCTCAAGATTGAATACTCTTCTTCCAAGAAGCACTTGTGTGAAGACGATTGCAATGCAAGAAATTTGACAATCAAGGGGAGGCAATGGCCTAGTGGTATTATTGCTGGACTGTTAACCCAAAGACCCGGGTAATGTTCTGGGGACGGTTTGAATCCCACCATGGCAGACGGTGGAATTTGAATTCAATAAAAATATCTGGTATTAAGAGTCTAATGATGACCATGAATACATTGTCGATTGTCGGAAAAACCCATCTGGTTCACTAATGTCCTTTAGGGAAGGAAACCGCCATCCTTACCAGGTCTGGCCTACATGTGACTCCAGACCCGCAGCAATGTGGTTGACTCTGAACTGCCCTCTGGGTAATTAGGGATGGACAATAAATGCTGCCTAGCCAGTGACGTCTTTATCCCATTAATGAATAAAGGAATTTGCTCCCAGTAAAGTCCCACTAGTGACTTGTCATCTTTCAATATTGCTGTTACCTGAGCAAGAAATAATGTCCCAGACACTGGGAGAATCAGCACACAGCCTCTGTACTCTTCTTTAAAAGAAAAGCAGTGGGATCTTTAACAACTATGCTGTCTCACCCAAAAGCCAGCACCTCCGACAGCTCAGCACTGCCCCCAATACTGCACTGATGGTATGCACACATTTCACTTCTCGAGGGTGAGAATAAAGTTCAGAAACTGGGAGAATGATCAAATAAATCAGAAACAACAAGACAAGCGGGAAAGTGAAGATCAGACCCTATAGCAGAGTCTCTTGCTCAAGAGCCTAGTGTATGCAGGACAATTGGAGACCACCATCTTCAGCTGGGATCAGCAGACGACACGGATTGGGAATGGACCTGGGAGCTTCTCTGTCTGGATAGCTTAGTAGTTCAATACAGACTGATGTTTTGCAGATTTCCTCTGAGCAGCAGAATGTGATTTGCAGCTGAAATCATCACTAGAGAACGGACAAGAGGAACTGCTTCACACAAGCAGAGGGAGCAACACAGAGTGATCCATGACTAACCCCAGTCTCCAAAACAGGACTGAGTGACCCAGCACTAACTCTGTGCGTATGTGTGTGTGTGTGATAATGTGTGTGTATGAGAGAGAGACAGAGAGAGAGAGAGAGTGTGTGTGTGTGTGAGAGTGTGTGTGTATGTGTGTGTGTATTTGTGTGTGTGTCCGTGTGTGTGTGTGCGAGAGAGAGAGAGAGAAAGAGTTTGTGTGTGTGTGTATGTGTGTGAGAGAGTGTGTGTGTGTGTGTGTGAGTGTGTGTGTGTGTGTGTATTTGTGTGTATGTCCATGTGTATGTGTGTGTGTCCATGTGTGTGTGTCCATGTCCATGTGTGTGTGCGAGAGAGAGAGAGTGTGTGTGTGTGTGTGAGTGTGAGTGTGTGTGTATGTGTGTGTGTGTCCATGTGTGTGTCCATGTGAGAGAGAGAGTGTTTGTGAGTGTGTGTGTGTGTGTGTGTGTGTGTGAGAGAGAGTGTGTTTGTGAGAGTGTGTGTGTGAGACAGAGAGAGCGAGTGTGTGTGTGTGTGTGTGTATGTGTGTGTGTGTGTGTGCGCGCGCGCGAAAGAGAGAAAGTGTGTGTGTGTGTGTCTGTCCGTGTGTGTGTGCGAGAGAGAGAGAGAGAGTGTGTGTGTGTGTGTGTGTGTGTGAGAGAGAGTGTGTTTGTGAGAGTGTGTGCGTGAGACAGAGAGCGAGTGTGTGCGAGAGACAGCGTGTGTATGTGTGTGTATATGTGACAGAGGAGGGTGTGGTCTGTGTGTGTACGTGTGTATACATGTGTGTATGTGTGTCTGTGTGTGACAGACAGAGTGTGTGTACCTGTGTAAAACAGGTGATTGAGTATCCCAGCACTGCCCACTCACTTCACCTTGATGAAGGGGGCTACACTCTGAAAGCTTGTGATTTCAAATAAACCTTTTGGACCATAACCTGGTGTCGCGTGATTTCTGACTTTAATTGTATTGATCTAGCATTTTTAATTTAATATGAGGTCCCAAGATGCTACTGTCAACCAACATTTGACACCAATCCATTTCAAAATTTGATCAGGTAATCAAATGCCTAAAATTCCAGAGGCTGAGCAGAGAGAGAGGTTTAGTGGGAGAAGGGCAGGATTCCAGAGATTAATGCTGGGTGGCTGAAGGCAATGATGGAGGGATTTGAAATTAGGACTGAACACAAAGTCAGAAATTAGAGGAATGCAGATATATTCCAGAGGGGTCCGAGACTAAGTCTTTTTGATCTGTACATCCTTTGCTTGCTGTTATCTGCCTGTACCGCTCACAAACAAAGCTTTTCACTGTATTTCGGTACACGTGACAATAAAATCAATCAATCAGATGAGTTTGAGCTTATGGAAGGCAGGATGTGGGAGAATGTTGCAGGTGGTTTAATAGAACCATGTGTCTTTAACAGGACAGTGTAGTGAGCGGTGTGTGGTTTAACATGGCAGTGAGTGGTTTAACAGGATAGTGTGTGGTTTAACAGAGCGGTGTGAGGTTTAACAGGGCGCTGTGTGGTTTAACAGAGCACTGTGCGGTTTAACAGAGCGCTGTGCGGTTTATCAGAGCGCTGTGTGGTTTAACAGGATAGTGTGTGGTTTAACAGAGCGGTGTGCGGTTTAACAGAGCGCTGTGCGGTTTAACAGAGCGCTGTGCGGTTTAACAGGATAGTGTGTGGTTTAACAGGGCGGTGTGTGGTTTAACAGAGCGCTGTGCGGTTTAACAGAGCGGTGTGCGGTTTAACAGGGTGGTGTGTGGTTTAACAGGGCGGTGTGCGGTTTAATAGAGCGGTGTGTGGTTTAACAGGATAGTGTGTGGTTTAACAGAGCCGTGTGTGGTTTAACAGAGCGGTGTGCAGTTTAACAGGGCGCTGTGTGGTTTAACAGGATAGTGTGTGGTTTAACAG